CTGGCTGGATGCTGGGCAATATTCACACACCTGACTTTGAACGAAAGGACCCTAGAACCATGGAAAAAAACTATAACTCTCACCTCACCTCTGACCATGTCACAATGTGATCTTTGATCCCTCTGTGGCTTAAATGGGTCGCGAGCCGAGACCTAGAAATCGATCCCTTCGAGCTCCGTTGGCTTCGAAGCCGAAAGGCCCCAAAAAACCGGGAGACAGGCGAGCCTCCCAGTAGAGGACCCTCATACTGAGCTGGTTTTTGTTTTACCCCCGGATCGGTGAGCTGGGCATCAAATAGGCAGACGGATGCAGGACTGACGTCTATAATTGCCTTCATCATAGGTGAACTCTGTTTCCTCCCCCCCCGCCCCGGCTTGCTCGTGGAAATTGTTCAGACCAATTCAAGGTTTCCTAAGGCGACAGGGGGTGTTCGTCGGGCGGGTCTGGTGCCTTACAGTCGCCGAGGTCGCGTCGCCACCCTTTCTTCCGGTCCGAATTTCGCGTTTCGGGCGGCGCGGCGGCGCGCGGCCGCGCAGCCCGGGCGACGGCTGCCAAGCCCTTGCAATGGAACGACGGCCACTGCAAGTTCTCCGGCACCTCTTGCAGATCGAGTCGGCCCTGCCATCCCCTACGGACTACTCCCCATTCAAGACCCTTATCATGTTGGCAAAGAGCTGTGCCTGGCCTGAGAAAAGAACAGGCTGCCAAAGAACCAAGCAGCCAAGCAACTTGCTCAAAGGCAGTGAAGCTAAGGCTCATTGAGCCCCACCTCGGGGTCAACCTGCTTCGGGGATGGCTCGCCGGGCATCTGAAATGAGCCTTGGACAGGGCCTGCGTCGGGAGAAGAGACACGGTCAGACAACTTCGACTGGATGGGGTCTGACAAAAAAGGCCACAAACAACAACCTCCCACATGCGATTGATAGAACATCCCTTCAACTTGATCTTCCCGATACCCTCTAGTAAACTTTGAGTAAAATGGAACCCACGGCAAGAAAATCTTTCGAGAGGAATATGATAGGAACCTGTTGTCAAGGTCCAATTTCGTTGGCGGGAGGGCACATCATCCCCTTGTCTCTGTGCGGGGAAATTAGCTCGGGCTCCGCTTCTTTGCCCTTTGGCCATCACCAAACCCACAAAGCAGGTCGTTGGGAAGTATGGGGAGCCCTGAAACACGACCCGTTGGCCTACAAACAATGACACTTTATCACTTTAAGGGGCGTGTCCTTGGTATCACAGAAAGTGGCAAGAACAAACTCCATCTTCTACATCTACGGCCGTCATCTTAAAGGTTCCTCATTCTGGCCCCAAAGTCAACTGCCCAGTGGCTTTTGGCTTCAGAACACTAATCACCGCTTGGCTTTGACAACCGGCGGTGGAGCGCAAACCAGGGGGAGTGTGCTTCTTTTCAGGAAAAACAACCAACAAGTTCAGGTTGAATGCCAGATTCAGCATCAGGCGTTGGGGTTTTTTGAAACGGCCCAAAGCAAGAAGAATGGCACATGCAACCGATCTGCCTGCTTCCCTGCCCCTTGGGGGCTGCCCTGTCCAAGCGCAAATTATCTACGGCGCTCTCACCGCTTGGGGCCCGCAGCTTTGGGCTTCTCCTGGCGAGGGCCAAGGCGCTGGGATTCCGCTTCATTTCTAAAAACCCAGCATCGCAAGACAACTTTACACGCGAGCTCAAACAACTCAGTTGTCTGTGTTCATGCCTCAAGCCTGCCCAGGGGAAAAAATATATATATATATATATATCATATATATATATATATATATCATATATATATATATATATCATATATATATATATATATATAAGAGAGAAAAAAGAAAGAAAAAAGAGGCAGGTATTGTGCCATGCACAGAGAAAGTAGTTGTCGCCTGTGCACTTTCTGGTGGCTTCAACTTTCCCATGGGCTCCCGGAGTTTTCAGAGGTCCCGAACCCCGAGTTTTGTGGTGGAAATTGAGGGCTTGCCTCGTCCCCCCTCGTCCCTCCAAATGAACCTAAACCTGGCAGAAAAATATCCCAAAAATACTTCAGCTGGGACTCCCCCAAAACAAGAAAAGAAAAGTCAACCGCTGGTTCAAGCTGATGGTACCCTTTTAAGGGAACCAACTGGAAACAGAAGCCCATCTTGAAAGTGTGTTTCATCCAGGATTCGGATGTTGAAAATATCACAATGTGAACTCCTCCATGTTTTCCTTGGAGGACGATACTCAACAACGGAATCCCCCTACAAAAACCGTGGGTATGGGTCAAAAAAATTGGCCACCAGGGGACCGCAGGTTTTGGCCCATGTTTCCACAGGCTTCCATATTGGGGTAGCAATTTTCGACAACCACCGCCATGCGGCCCATTCCAACAGCTGCCTCCCCTGGGCGATGCGGCGATGCCGCCACCGACCAAAACCGACGAGCCGAAAACGTCTCACGAGCCTTCTGGAGCTGCAGCAGAAGCGAGGGATTCTTCACCTGACACTCGGGACCCGGCCGCGGGTCCCGTGTCGCTGATGAAAAAAAAGTCCCCCGTGTGTTTTCCTTTTTTCTGGCGCATCGGTGGGTGGGAGAAGAAGGGAATGAGAAATTCTAGGGGTACCAATTCCATTTCCATTCTGAACCCAGGGATCCGAAAAAATCTGTTCAGGAAACCAGCGGAAAAACAAATCAGGGGAAACAGATCCGGTTTTTTGAAAAGAAGGATGGCTGAAAAAAATGGGAAATCAACCCCTAGAGTGTTGGTGAAACCTCCTTGGGTGTCATGTAAAACGCTAAGGGCGAAACAAATAGAATGGGGTGGGGGTGTTGGGGCGCCATAAACCCAAATTTGGTCATGATGACACGTACATCGCGCTAGCGAATATTCATCCCCTAGGAATTACTCAGATGGAAACTCACCCCAATTACTCACTACTCACCTTACATGGGCCCAAAGGTGATGCTTAAACTTACTTGAAAGGGAAATGGGTGTGTCTCAAAATGTCCTGTTGGCTTCCCTTTAACCCCATCCCAAACAAGTTACCCTCTAAAAAAAAACGGAGCCACCGAGCCCCGCCCCATCGAGCCCCCGCTGGTGGGAGCCAGCGCCGGCCTTCACCAGCGCGCTCATGTCCTGCAGCCTGGCCTGCATCAGCGCCAGCCGGCCTCACGGGAACGAACTCGGAGCTCGAAAGCCAAAGGGAAACAACGAGGCCCCAAAAAGGGACCACTTCCGTTTGGTTTCTGGGAAGAAACTTATGTCCAGTGAAATCGATTCCAACTTTAAACAACCAAAACAGAAAACAACCAAAATATTTGTTAATGGAAGACAAGAGCTCTTTGCCAGTGGACAACCCATGCTGGGCTGGCCAGTGGGACCCCTGACAGTAAAAATTGCTGTCTGGGGCCCAGAAACTTTCGCAAACGAATTACAATGAAACAATAGTTGGGTCAAACAACAACAAATGTTCAACCACCTCATGTTCGGTTAGAAAATGTTCGACAAGCAGGCAACAAGCTCGCTGAATCCAATCATTCTTAAGCCCGGAAGGTGCTTGACAATAAGCCTGGCAGGTCGGCTGCCGAACGTGCGGCAAAAAAGCACCGCTCTTGTCTGAAGACGTTGGACTCAAAAGGAAATCTAAGAACTGGACCAATTATGGAACAAGCAAGAGGCAAAGAGGTTGATTCTGTTCAATTGAGGTTTCAGCAGCAACTTTGCTTCTCCCCTTGCAAGACAAGGTCAATAGCAACTGGGCGCATCATTGGTCCGGATCCGGTCCGACTGAATTCCTCGCTAAGCATCACCTGGGTCGTGCTGAAAGTCTCCTTGTGGCGGGTTGACGATAGGGGACATACTGTGGATGGACGAAATCCTGCACCACCTAAGAAACCCTGGAATTGTGTTTTCCCTCTAAATAGCAACGAACAATGGTTTCCCATGGTTTCAAAGTGGTGCGAATCGGATTTCGTCCATCAGTATGGGAGTTTCTCAACCTGGTGCTTGGATGGGATTCGAAGGGCATCAAAAGGAATCCAACGATTGTAGGGAAGCACTACTTGACAAAATATCCTGTTTAAAGGTAGTAAATACCAACGATTGATTGAGTTAAACGGGTATTTGTACAAAGGGTAAATCATTGACCCCTTTTTTGACCCTTAAAGGCCGCCCGGAATGCCGCCAGAATTGCGTCCCAAAAGGAAGCTCTAACTTTTGATGAATCATTCATGGCAACTCGCTCAAACAAAGCTTGACAGGAGCATTCACGTCGCGTTTCATCTATCCCAACTGCCTGGAGGGCCTTTTTTAACCATCCAGAGTGCGTGTCATGGATTCGTCAGTAGGGATGTTTAAAATCACCATTGCACGGGTTTCTATTGAGGAAGTCGCCACCATGACCAACGTAGGTGGTCAACTGGCCCACTCACCATCACAAGGGTTCCTATTGAGGAAGCCATGAACATAACCCACATACGCGCTCAACACCACTTGCCGTCTACTGTCCTCCCAGAAAGCAGCGGCCTTTGACGCTGTTGTACCGGAAAGTGATCTGTTGCCGGACCACCT